AAATGTCCACGACAGTATATAGTAGAATATTATCTTAATCACTACTTTGCTCTATAGTCTAAGTTACTATACTAAATCTTGTGGTTTCTATATATATTAGAGGAACTACTACTACTATCGAGGGGATAAGGTAGAAGAAGAATTATAATAAATTAGAAGTAAGAAATATAGGGTCTATATACTCTTCTAAAACTATCTAAATAAAGGCTTAATCTAACAAATAAGCAATTTAGTAAATAGGAAAATATAGGAGATAGTCTAATAATATAATAACACTAAAGTATATAAATACGAATTCAATTAAATAACGCCTCCTAATATACTTATCTCTATACACACTTTGTATAAATAGAGGCTATACTATCCCGATACTTTCTTTTAAGTGATCTAGAATATATTAGGTAGTTCCGGATCTTCTAGTCGCTCCTATAGTCTATAAAAGGAGAGTCGATACCCTACTATATTACAAACTATTATATAGTTTTAGGAAAGCCACTTATCTTCCTTTCGATACCCTACGCTAAGCGTAGCGATATTGTGACAATTTCTATAGGGTATCGGATATAAAAGGAAATATATTTGTTATAAAGGGCGCACGTTTAATAACCTTATAGATCTAGCGAGGGAAGGGTCTCGTTCGTAGTAATAAACTCTATCTTAGGCTAATATAGAGTTATAAGAGCGTTAACTATATCTTTATAGACACCGCGACACCGAATTAAACCTTTATATAAGTAAAAGCCTCTATTATAGGTAGGCGAAGTATTGAGTTAGAAGTAGAAGTTAGAGACTAAAAGTACTATTATAACTTTAATAAGCTGACCTTATAGGCGTAGGTATATTTACTCTTTCTATAGCGGTATACTTTGAATATCGTCTAGCTAAATTAGGAATGGTAGCTCGATATTTAAACGAAAGAAATCTTACCTACGTTGCTTATCTAACCTATTTCTGATATCACTATATCTAGTGTGTCTATTAAGGAAGTCTATAAAGGAAGCCTATAGCCTCTGTATAGAGTGGGTTTTTCTCTTAGGTAGGCCCTTAGAGGCTTCTCTGGTCCCTAGTGAGATAACAATATCGCGAGATATATTTTTGTCCTAAATATAGGTAGACTCCTATATTACTAGTTCAATAGGGTTAGGGAACCTAAGCCCACTATCCTAATACTCTTAACTATCAACTATAATAGGCTTAAAAAAACTAGACTAGTAATTAACTAGGAGAAGTAATATATAGATATAGATATATAGATATATATAGGGGCTACTATTGTTGCACAAGCTCTGTTTAAGTTTAGTATAATTCTATAAGAAGTATGATTAGATATTAACTTACGCTTACTATAACGAAGCTTTGTCCCTATTGTCTTTAGGTCGAACCACTATATACCCTGAAAGCTATTAGGAAGATAGAGAAGGATTTCTAAAATTATATATACCTATTGGTTATACTGAACCGTTATAGTTTATGAATATTAAACATTTATTCCCCCTAGATATCGTAGTAAGTACTACCTTTATCCCTAATACTATACTAGGGATATAACTAAATAAAAGTCCTAGGAAATTCTCTTAAAGGGCACCTTCTAGGAATCGCTTATTATATATTGTATCGCTAGTTATATATTTAACCACTACTTTTAGTTTACCTAATACGGACCTAGAGGTTAAGAAATATCGATAGGTAAGGGTCTCGAATACACTAGTATAATAGGAGATAGGCCACTTTTGGTGGAATTTGGCTAGTATAGTTAGGCCCCCTAGTCTATTAGTTATATATTGTGTATAGGATACTATTTATTGAAGACTCACTAGAGCTTATACTAATTACAAGATTAATTATATCGTGGATTAGGCAATCTCTAAGTAATTTCTATAGTTTACCTAAGAACTTAAGGGGCGTTATACCTCGCGCACTACTGCTATTAATACCTATAATCCTTACTCTAGCTATTAGTGGCTTAATATTAACTAGTAATTCACTGTTATTACCAAAAAGGTAATCTATCCGGACTTAACTATCCGATTTCGGAAGATAAATGCTAAATATAGTAGTATATATATTATATATAGAGTGGCTATAGCTTAAATATCTCTTAGGGGGCGGAAAAGACACTAGATATAGACTATATTTATCACAATCTATTGTAGGAAACTACTATACCTTTGGGCGTTCGCTTAGTGAAGCTATATAGTATCTATATATCTATCCTCTAAAGCCTCGAATATATAGTTATATTGATTTTACACCTCTCGATCTAAATAGGTAGAATACTGTGGTCTATATAAAAATTGAAATACCTTATTGTAATAGGACCTATATAGGCTACAGTATATTAAATATAGGTCGAAGACTATAGAAAGTTAGGAGACAATATATATAGAATCTAACACTTATAATATATCCTCTTTAGGTACGTATTTATCATAATACTAGAGGTAATAAATACTATAACTATATTGTATAGAATCTTAAACTAAACGTAGAGCTTAAGAAACTTCTATAGATATATATAGTGATCTTCCCTGATAGGACTTATATCTCTCGAGACCCTAATAAAGTCGAATACTGCTCCTAGGTTATATACAGTATACTTTACTACTAAGTTAAAGAAATATAGAAGGTAAGAGGCGGAGAAAAGATATCGGAGACTAGATTTTATCTCTCTTAATTCTTCTATATAATATCGAATCTCGGTATATAACTGTTAATAGCGAGTGGATAGAGAAAGGTATTTGCCTACTAGTTAGAATATTTTAAGTGTGGAAAAGCTTGATAAAAGTTAGTGCCTAAGGTTAGATAAGGTTAAGTAGTCCTCTATATAAGCCTTACTAAACTTACTATCCTCCGAAAAAATAATAAGCAATCTAGGAAGCGTATCGGAAGGTAACAAAGAATTATTTTGAACCTCTATCTACGCTATTAAGCGTAGCCCAATTACCTCTAAAGTCTAAAAATCATCCGTAAATATATATATAATATCGCTAAAAGTAAAGACGAGTCTAGAATATAGAACGTCGACAATAGTATATAATATAGTTATATACTATATTGTAGTATAAGATATAGTTTTATAGCACTATATATAACTCTTTTCGGAAATAGGAATTTGTAATAGGTTACTATCGGCAAAAAGTATAGGATTATCGCTTATTAAAGATATCGTATCAATCCGTAGGTTAATATATACTCGATCTCCTCGACGTATATTATTTCGATTAAAGATATTCTGTATCGCCTTATCTTTGGTTGATATACCTAAAAAGAGACAAAGCTAAGGGCGTTGAATATCTAGATTAGGTATTTCGCGAACTAGAGTACTTAGTCGATTGGTTCTTTCTATAATAATCTCTCTTAAATCACTATTCTCTATAACGCGAAGCTATCCGGTATACTTATAGGAAGCTATTGTTTAATATCTTATACTTTACGTAGAGTTACTTAAATTTATAGTATATTAGGAGTCTTTGATTATAGTAAATAGTAAATAGCTAAATATAAGATTGTTTTAATATATAAATTAAGTGCGCTAAAAATAACGTATAAGAATATATAGATTAAGTCTTTTCGCCCTTTTAAAGATTATCTAGGATAGCGGATAGCTACTGGTTTAAGGTTTCTATATTTAAAATATTGTTCTCGAGCTATTTAATCATAGTAATTATCTTTTCGACCGATTATAGAAAATTGTTAGTAATTTCGATATATTCTCGATGTTTATTATATAGAGCCTTTATAAAGTCCTCTTTTAAGAGGATTATAGGATCTAGATTTACTGGTTTCTTTGACTATTAGATATAGGATTTTAGTAGGTAATATCTTAGAACTTATATCTATTAAATAGTTAAATCTTTAGTAAACTCTAATTTATATTAGTAGTATACAATATTTTATTTTAATTAACCATTATATATTAGCCGCTATAATTATATTCTATAGATCTTAGCCGGTAAATATAATATCCTAGGTAGCCACTAGAAAGAATCATTAAGAAAGGGCTTATTAATATAACTCCTATAAGCAGAGAGACCTATAAAAGGCCGGTATAGGGGTAACGCCTATAAGGAGTAACGCCTATAAGGGCCTATATAGGGTAACGCGCACGAGAATACCTAACTATAGCACAAAGAGACCCTAGGAAATATAACCGAGGGGTAACTATCACCGTATAACTTATTTAAACTTTCGGCCCTACTTTGATTGTTCCGATAAGCGTTATCCCCGAACTAATAGGTTCCGTCCAATATTTATAGCTAGTACGTAATCAGTAATATCTATAAGGCCGAATAAGCCTTATAAAAATAACCCTAGCGAGGGAGTAACGCGAAGGAAAACAAGGGAAAAGAAATAGTTATATCTAGGAGGTTCCCTACGTAGGAGACTTAATAGGGTAGACTACTACGCGAAATAGGGGGATAGAGCGCCCTATAAGGCGAAGAAAAAAGTGATTTCTACGATATCACGTTAAATAAGGTAGAAGAGATAAGGTATTTTGATTACGTAGGAGGCTCCCTACGTAGGACACTTTTTAAGGCGGACTGCTACGTAAATCATTGCCGAATATATTACGCCTACGCTATATAAACCCTATCTTATCTAATTTAGCTCGTAGGCTAGATTGTTAGCTAAGACACTAAATCGTAAGCTAGACTATTTATAGCAACCCTTATCGCGCTATAACGTGGCGTAACCGATATTTAGGTACCTATAGTATATTAGTGTAGTATATTGCCTATAAGGCCGATCTAATTATAGGATCTAGAATTAATTTCCTATTAGTATACTTAATATAGCTAATATACGCCGAAGACCACTTAGATTTAACTATATAGCTAAATAAAACTATTATAATAAGGAAACTACTCCACTAATCAAAAGGATTATCGCCTTAAATATCTTTCTACTCCCTCTATCCGGATAGTACTAGATCGAACGGATTATTTTAGAGCCTTAGTTAGGAGTCCCTCGATAGATGTGCTAAGTTGTAAGAGAAATAGCTAAAGGTTCTCGAGGTAAGCCTCTAAGTCGGCGATCCTTCTACCTAAAATTAGTATTAGTTAGAGAATATATCTATTTAGTAGACTAACTTTTGCTTCTCCGTAATCCTAGTATAGTTAGTAATAATTTCAATTATAAGGTAAGAAGGGGCACTATACCGGTCTTCTAACCTATTAACACGGTCTTTAAGCTTAGTGATCGATTCGCTTAATACCTTAATATTATATTACGGTATCGGACTAGGTAATAGCTCGGGTAGTGTACTAATCGCTTCCACTTTCTCTTCGATTAGAGCTAGTAGGCTAAGTAGAAATAGGTCTAGATACTTATATAGCTCTAGGTACTTATCCAAAATTTAGTCCTATAAAAATATTTTATCGCTGCCTAGGGTGTACTAGAGATTGGGGAACTTATCCCGATCTTCGCCCTATCTAAGAAATTCATTGAAATCGGCAGATTCTATACTAGTGATATATAAGATAAGAAATAGCGTAGTTAGTTAAATTTATCTTATTGTTCCTATATAACCTACCTAATAACCAGGATTTAATTAGCGCTTATTCCGCGGTGTAGCGCCTACGTATAATTGTAAATTTAGAAATTATTACTTTAAAAGGAAGATCGCGCTAGCGAGACACTCTTACCTTAGATTATCTATTTCCTCTAAGCTAACCACGTCTATATTGTTATAAAGCCGCCCCGATAACCACTAAACTAAACGCCCCGGGTTATAACAAACAATACTATAAGGAGGAAGAATAACTTCTAATTGTCCTTAAGTAGCTAGGTAGACTCTTATAGTTAGAAATTGCGCTTAGATTCAACAAAAGTGTCCCGGAAGACCGATATAGAACTATATCGGCCCTAGAGAATAAGTGGCGATAGTTACAAAAGACCCACTAGTAAGACAATATCACTCTAGGTTAGATTATTATTTCTAGTTTCTAATTTTAGTATAGCTTAGTCGACCTTTCTTATATCTTCCTAGAGTAGGGTTAGTAACTCGGTGGATAGTAGGGGATTAGGAAATAATCTATATAGAATATAATTTCGTATTATATAGATATTAATATACGCGCTTAGAATTTAAGCCTTACTTTTTTCCCCTATAGTTCTAAGTAGTTATAATTATTTAACCCTCTTCCTACCGGGGATTCTATAGAATTCCTATCCCTTAAATCAATCCCTCTAAATAAATCTATTACGATAGAAAACCAAGCTATATATATATACAATTTTTTGACTATTTGATAATTCCCCGCTAATAAGTTAAGGTAAACTCCGAAAATATTCTCGTTCCTTTGAGCGTTATACGCTAGTTCTTCCTACGCGAGTAAGTAGATACTTATTTAATTATAAACCTTCGAAAGTATAGTTTATCTCTCGAGAGCTCGCTATATACCTTAGGGTAGAGAATACAATATATTATTATCGAGAAAAATACCCTATTAGCACACTATAACTAACTATATATAGACTACTTAAAACTTTTCGAAGCCTATAAGTACCTTAAGAAGTAAATCAATTATACTAGATTAGGGATTATAGATCTTCCTCTAAAAGAGCGCCTTATATCTGTAGATATCACTACCGAGGGAGTATGATATTTCCTTCTAAGAATATTTTATTTGGAATATTTTATTTATTCTTAGTTATATAGTTCTATAATATTATCTATTAAAATATAATATAAATTGAACAAAGTTTATCTGATAATATCCCTATTCCTTATTGTCGATTTAAGAATATTGTATACTAGGGCGTTATAGCTTCCGATATATTTACGATATAGCTATCTTTCGATATATATAAATAATATCGGCTAATAAGTCCTTTAAGTTTATTTTGGTATTAAGACTTGATTTCGATATAGCTTATATATTAGGTTATTAATAAGCACTATCCTCACTATCCAAAGTATTAGACACCGAGGATTTGATTTGAAATTTGGCGATATAGTATTAAAACTAGCGCCTTGTAATAGCCTAGCTTTCTGGATAGTTTCTGTTCTAGATTATCTCCTAAACAAAGTTATATATATCCTTATAGTGTGTAGTTAAGCGGTAGAACTTTATATCTCTAACTACTAGGTCTAGCTAAATACCTACGCGATAAAGATTATACACTTCAATATAGCTAGTGCTAGGAGGACGATTTAACACCCTTTTGTTCTATCGGTTAATTATAAGATTTATCGATATTAACTACTCCTTTACTCTTTTACGTTAATCGTTAGGTTCCTAAAGAAGGGATATAATAAATCTAGTCGACTAGTTCTATAGGTGCTCGTAATAGCTAGTATCGATAGCTAGGTAAACTCCCTTATTAAGGTACGTAATAAAAACACTATATAGCCTATTTTAAGGATCGTGTTAGGAGAAGCCTTCGCTAGTGGTTACTTTTAAGCGAAGTCCTATAGGGGGCGCTAAATATATAGGGGCTAAATCTATAGGGAGGCTATTTAATAGGGCTTAATTAATAAATTATAAATATATAGAATAACACAAAAATACTATTTGGTATAAATAACACTTTTCCCCTTCTACCTACTATAATATTTATATATAGCTACCTTTAGTATATTTAAATAATAATTACCCCTAAAGTATATTCTAATATTAAGAGTTATAAATATTCTCGCTTTATAGAGACTAAAAACACCTATTTACTAACTTCTATCGTTAATAATATCAAATCGTAATAATAGAAGTAATAAGTCCCTAGTCGACCTTAAGAGTATAGAAGGCTAAAATATCTAGGCTATATCGAGAAGCGAGAACAATAACTATAATAACGTTAATAACCGCCGCCGCCGCCGTAATAACTCTAATTACCGTTACCCTAGGGAAGATTCCCCTAGTGGTATTAAGTAAGAGAGCGATACCGAACCGGAAGCCGAAAATAATCAGCGAAATAATACTAATAACCGCCGCCACCGCACTAACTCCTATACTAGTGATAATAACCCTCCTAGTATTAAGCGCGTTAGGGGCGATACTAAAGAGGAAGGCGAAAATATCCCGGTTTACGAAGGGAATATCTCCGATAAGGATAGCGAGGTAGAATTGTTCCTTTAAACTATATAGCCAATATCGGAGCTACTAGATTATACCGCGGAAATATCTAGCCTACCGATAGAAGGAACTATACTTACTTAGCGTAGAAATAGCCCCGGGAAATCAGTGATAGTCGGATATATATATAGCGGGTCTATAACTACGCGATTAATCCTAGCGGCCCAGTATTTTATTCCCTCTCGAGTACCTAATATTTTAGAATAAAGCCTTAGCCGCTAAAGGGACTGTATCTAGACCGAACGAGATATTTAAGGTTAGGGAATTGTTGTATAGCGAGTAGATAAAAGCCTAGTTAACTAGGACCTAATATCCTTATTAAAACCGATAAGTAGAGCGTGGTATCTAGAGATATATATCTATATTTATTGGTAGGGTAGAGATATAAGCTAGGAATCGCGAGAAACTCTTCGATTTGTTTATATTAGCGACTAGCTAAAGATAGATATATTAATCTATAATATAGTAAAGGAGTAAGAGGCTAATTACCACGAAGTACTTACTAGAGTAAGGCTAGAGTATCCTATAGCGAGTACCTATATAAAAAATAAACACTAGAGAAACGTGAATATATACCGAGGTATATACTAGTTATAGCTATATACTAAGGAAAATAGGTATATAACAATAATTAGATATAAACTAGCTTTCCCGAGAGAGGATAACTCTTAACACTTCGATAGTGGTATAGGTATAAACAATAATAGTACCTTTTAAGAAGTTAGTGAAGAATATTAAGAGGGATATTATAAAGGGTCTAATAAGGTAGAGGAGATAGATAATATTAAGGAAGTTTAGGACAATAGAGAACAACGATATAGAGATATTTAGTAGCTTCGGCGTGACTTAAGCCCTATTTATAAGGAAGTTTCTAAGGCCTAATCCTTCTTTACGCCTAACGATAGCCCTACCCGAGTTCGATAGTATAGTGAAATATATAATAGAGATATAGTATATTTACTCTAAGAGTAACTAGGTCGCCTAGCTCTAGTTATATACCTTAAGGGAATAGAGACCTAGCCCGGGGTATACTGGAAACACTAACTAACCAGTGTGTACTTTACCTTAATTAGGGTAATTAATAGCGGACACTACTGTTTAACTAGAATAATTAGAGGGGTTAGTAGTAGTAGACACTATAGTCTAACCGCTCTAACCACTCCAATCAGGGTAACTAACCTAACTAGGGCAACTAATAGCGGACACTGTAGCCTAGCTAGGGTAGTTAGTAGTAATAGACACCATAGTCTAACCACTCTAACTAGGGCGATTAATAGCGGATATCATAGTCTAACTAGGGTAACTAATAGCGGACACTATAGCCTAGCTAGGGTAGTTAGTAGCGATAGACACCGTAGTCCAACCACTTTAACTAGGGCGATCAATAGCGGACACTATAGTCCAACTAGGGCAACTAATAGTGGACACTATAGCCTAGCTAGGGTAGTTAGCAGCGATAGATACTATAGTCTAACCACTTTAACTAGGGCGATTAACAGCGGATACTATAGCCTAGCTAGGTGTTATGGACCTATCAGGCACCCAACGACCCAAACTACCCCACCAGCATTATAGGCCATCGAGAGCCAATCAACCTAGATCATATACAAAGGACACCCCAGCCAACCAGAAATCGTGTTATATAATCATATAGGTAGTAGACCGGTCGACGGTAGAACGATAGATTCCGCCAAGACAAATCTACCAAGCTACTATCTACCTAACTACCCCTAGGAAGATAGGAGGATATATAAGGACGTTCATTTATATACTTAGTCTAGTTCTTTATCTTCAATCCTATATTATTACTTATATATACCTATATAGACTTACGACTCTTAACTAAGATATAACTTAATAAACACTATAAGCTAGACTAATACCCTAGTATAGATCTACTTAGCGCTCTACCTAGTATCGATTCCTCGATATAACTTCTAGGGACTTAGGCTATAGTAAGGCCTATAGATAAGGTAATAGCTTAGTAACAATAGGCGTATCGTTAACGTAGGAAACCTAAGGTATATTAAGGTAACTATACCCTAAACCACCTAACCTAACTATAACTAGTTAGCTAGTACGTAATATATTAAAGACTATCTCGATCTTAGTCTCGAGTCTAAACAAACGATAATATATCTCAAATCGAAAAGAGAGTAGTATAGGCTCCGGTCTAGCAACCTAAGAAAGAGGAACCGGACTCTAACAACGAGAGAGACAAGACAAT